GGGGGGACACCAGCAGCCCAGCCAGTGCCACAGGCATCTCTATGCACAGACAGGGGCCATGGGAGGAGGCGGGGGAGCCTGTGGGGGGCTGCCCCACTGCCCCCCATTACCACCTCTGGGTACCTGTGTATCGAGCAAGCAGCCCACTGTAGGGCAGGGAGATGACTTGGCCCCGCAGCTCGCCCTCTGCCCAGTCCTTGGTGGCCACATTGAGGAAGAGCTCGTTCTGCAGCAGCATGTGGGCATCGCGGGCACTGGGGCTCTGCCAGACACCCCAAGCCTGCCACCGATAGAAGACCATGTGAGTTAGGTCAGGGACTTACCCAACGCCCCCCTACTATCCCCTCCAGTGCCACCCAGTGCTCACCAGCCCATCCTTGTAGCTAGGTGTCATGTCAAACAGGATGTTCCTCTTGCTTTTCCGCCGGGGTTTGGTCTCTAGTGTGATGCCCACCACCTCACTGGCAGTGCCCACCACCTGCACCTGCAGGCAGAGTGCTGAGGGTCAGTGCTGGGGAAAAGATGATCCTGGGACTCCTGGAATGAAGAGAGGTGCTTCCCCCCCACTACCTGGAACTCCAGGGTGCCATTCTCATGCAGTGCCAGCTTGGCTGAACCCACGGCCCCCGTCTTGGTTGGCAGCAAGGCGTCCGCTCCGCACAGCACGCTTTGGATGGCTTCAGCCCAGGGAAAGAAGCATGGGGTGGGGGGTGAGGTTGGCATGGGGAGGCATGGCCACCCCCTTGCACCCGTGGGTGCCTGCCCCGTGCTCACTGTCACAGCTGCGGCGGGTGGTGATGGTGCCTGCCAGCTGGCGCGCGTGCTGGCCCTCCGTCTCAGCCACGATGCGGAGCTGCCCCTGCACCAGCCACTGCAGCTCATGGGCAGACAGCTCAGTCAGCACCTCTGCAAAGTCAGGGTCCTGCAGGGGGGAGTGCCATGGCTCAGCCCTGGTGGGCAACACAGCTGCCAGGACTCTTGGGGCAGGGGGTGGCTTTACCTCCAGGGTGATGTTGGCCTGGATCTCCCGCAGTGTCTGGCCATGGTGAAGGATGCGGACCCGCAGTGGGACCCAGGGGGATTCTGGCCATGGCAGAAGGGGTTGGACCTGCTGGACTGGGGGCCTGCGACCACTGTGACCCCCACCATTCCCCCTCTGGATCCCCATATCCTTGCACAACCCGCATCCCAAGCCCATCCATAGATCCCCACACACTCCAGCCCCAAACATGCACAGGTACACACACCCTTCCACTGCATACCCCAAATCATGCCACAACTCCTATCAACACCTCACCCCCCCATGCACAGCCCCTTACCCACCCTGAACTCTACACCCAACCCCTGCACCCACCCGAACCCCACGATGCTGACCCATGCATCCCCAGCCACACACCTGCCACGCACCCCTGCCCCCCAGCCCTACCCCTCCCCAACTCCCCCCTGCAGTGC